ATTGGACATGAGGAAAAATTTCTTTACTGAAAGAGTGGTTAAACATTGGAACAGGCTGCCCAGGGAAGTGGTTGAGTCACCATCCCTGGAAGTATTTAAAAGATGTGTAGATGTGGTGCTTAGGGACATGGTTTAGTGGGCATGGTGGTGTTGGGTTGACAGTTGGACTTGATGATCTTAGAGGTCTTTTCCAACCTTAATGATTCTATGATTCTATGATTTGGAAAAGGTGACCTTGTAATGCAACTAAGCTGCTGCAGGACCTAGTCACTGCTGTAGAATGCCACTGTGACGACTGGTTTTGAAATGTAAAATCCGTGCAGATACCTACAGAGAAAGAGGTAAGATGAAGAGCAGAAGGGGACCGCTTACTATTTAAAGATGAAGAAGGCAGAGAAAAAGGAACTCCCCTCTCCAATAGCATTGCAACTTCTTCTAAAATGCCAGGGCACCTTTTCATTCACTCTATCTAGGATTTAAAATATGCAGAACTGAAGTCATCATTCCTGCACACGACGACATGGTGAGAAAAGTACTGGAAAACAGGTACCGGAGCAAAAGGAACTACTGCTGTGATTTCACAGTTTGGTACCAAAGAGACTCCAGCCTACGCCACAGAATATCCCTGAGGCTTGAAACAGGTCTATTATACTGATGTCTGTGTCTTGCTTTCAAAGACACCGAGGAAAGAAACTTCCATCTCTGTTTTGGAGAAAGAGGAGAAAGCTGCTCAGCTGGATGTCTTTTTTGATGAAGAAGTCCAGAAACTCAGAGCAGAGTGGTAGTTCACAGGAGCACTGTTCAGATATGTGCAAATCATTTTCATCCAGATTTAAGATGGTTCTCCTAAAATGGTTAATATGAGCCTCTATAACCTTCAGAGCTTTTTGAGTTTTGGTTGTGGGTTTTTTTTAAACTGTTAATTGAGTGTTTATGGAAGATCTGCCCTTCCTCCAGGCAAAAAGGCACTTTTTTTTTTTCCCCACTGCTCAGCAGAACCATTGGGTCACAAGAGGTGCGAGTCTTGCATCCTGTAGGTTGTTTCCAACCTAGCAACTTTTCAGTATTTGGAACAAGTCTGTAGTGACTAAAAAACATGAAAAAACCAAAGAATACAATACTAACTATAAATGCACAAAGGATTTCAGTCTGTATGTAATGGAATTGTTTGCAAACAGAGAAGGACTTGTGGGTGATGTGGTGGTTGGAGGCCGTCTTGGGCACAGTGATCACTAAATGCAGAGTGTTCAATTCTTGGAGAAGGAGTAGGGTCGGCAGAACGGCCACCTTGGACTTCCGGAGGGCAGACTTTGGCCTGTTTAGGAGCCTGGTTGACAGAGTCCCTTGGGAGGCAGTCCTGAAGGGCAAAGGAGTCCAGGAAGGCTGGACGTTCTTCAAGAAGGAAATCTTAAAGGCACAGGAGCAGGCTGTCCCCATGTACCAAAAGATGAGCCGGCGGAGAAAAAGGCCGGCCTGGCTGAACAGAGAGCTTTGGCTGGAACTCAGGAAAGAAAGGAGAGTTTGAGCTTTGGAAGAAGGGGCAGGCAACTCAGGAGGACTACAAGGATGTTGTGAGGTTATGCAGGGAGAAAATTAGAAGGGCCAAAGCCCAACAAGAACTTAATCTGGCTACTGCTGTAAAAGACAATAAAAAATATTTCTATAAATACATTAGCAACAAAAGGAGGGCCAAGGAGAAGCTCCATCCTTTGCTGGATGCGGGGGGAAACATAGCGACAAAGGATGAGGAAAAGGCTGAGGTACTTAATGCCTTCTTTGCCTCAGTCTTTAATAGTAAGACCAGTTGTTCTCTGGGTACCCAGCCCCCTGAGCTGGAAGACAGGGAGCAGAATGAAGCCCCCATAATCCAAGGGGAAATGGTTAGTAACCTGCTACACCACTTAGGCATGCACAAGTCTATGGGGCCAGATGGGATCCACCCAAGGGTACTGAGGGAGCTGG